AATGTATATAATTCATATAAGTATCAATTTGTGTCAAAACATATTTAATAAATAAATTAGCATACTTCTAAAAAATCCAAAGTTTCCTGTGAGCCAATAAAAACCTCAAGAATAACTGTATATGTTGCCGTACGTGACTTAGTATATTCTTTATATTCCCCCGAAATTATTCGTTTACCATCTAACCAGGTTGCCAAAAATGTTGAATTATGTTTATTATCATCAATACTTTGAATATTATTTAATCTATTAAAAGGAATCCATTCAATCGTTTTCTCGTATTTAGTAGATTTAAATTGAAATTCTTTTATACAATCGTCAATATCTAAATTTCCACTTGTCCATCCTTGAATTTCTCTATAAGGATCACATGATTGACACCAGGCTCTTGATGTATTATATTGGTTACAGTATGCACATATTCCATACAGTATATTTCTTTCGAATTTATTAAATACTAAAATATATTTGTTAGTTGTTGTGCTTTGAGTTAATCCGTATACTTCAAATTTGCCGTCATCTGATTGCAAGTAATTCTTAAACTTAAATGTATACAATTTGTGTAAGAATTAATTTAAGAATATAATTATAATAATAATAAGTAGCTTACTTTGAAAAAATCGAAAGAATCTAGAAAAATCTTAAGCATAACTGTATATGCTGGTATACGTGACTGTGTGTATTTTCCATCTTGATACGAAATTATTCGTTTACCATCTAACCAAGTTGCTAAAAGTGTTGAACTAAATTCATTGTTACTAATACTTTGAATATTATTTAATCTGTTAAAAGGAATCCATTCAATAGTTTTTTCATATTTAGTAGATTTAAATTGAAGCTTTCTAATACAATTATCAATATCTTTATTTCCACTTGTCCACCCTTGAATTGTTTTATAAGGATCGCATGATTGGCACCAGGCTTCTGACGTATTATATAAGTTACAATGTTTACATTTTCCATACAGACCGAATGGTTCCAAATATTCCCAAAAAATGCTTTCCTTATTATTCTTTTCGAAGCGTTGGCGTTTTGATTGTTGAACTTCACTATTTATTATAAATGATATGTTATTTTTGTTAGAGTCGGAAGTTTGAAATAAATCTTGATTTATTTTATGTTTGGTCATTGAAACAGGTTGTTAAATATAAAAGACAAATGGTAAAAGCTAATAAATTGTAGCAAATTACTGTGGCGTAGATCAAACCTGGCACACATAAAAGCAAGTCAGGTTGATCGGTCTATTTCAAAATTTTGCTCTTAGTGCTTTAAGAAAAAAAAATTATACGTACACATAAGTTTGGTATAGTATCCTATAGACCGATGTTGATAACCTGTTACACATTCGTACGCAACTACTTTATTAAGAAAGTAATTTACTGAAATCGACATGTGACGGAGTCAATACTTCCACTTGTCCGAAAATCGTAATGTATGCAATATATATAAAAAAAAACAAAAAAAAAGCAATCATACTACACCAGAAAATCTTTATTTTATTGTTTCAATGAAAAAAAAATATTGAAATCTAAAATTTTTATATATATATATTTTTTTTTGTAATATTATTATTATTAAAAATGGTACAATTGGGTGTAACAGATTGTAAGTTTTTTTTCATTAAAATTGTATTACATATTTAGATTTTTTTTTTATTATAATAAAAAAAATGTTATATATAGATGTGGCTATTACAAACAAAATCATACCTAATCTTGGCTATGAAATCGAAGATGACAAATATCATACTTGGCAAATTACTAATTGGCGAAGTTTAGGATATAGAACAATAGGTCCTGAGTTTGAGGCAGGGGGTTGGAAATGGTGTGTTATCCTGCATTATTATTATCGTTTTTTTTTAGAAAAAGATCAAGTGATCAAATTATTTCTAAAAAATAATTTTTTTTTTTTCAGGCGTATTTTACTTTTTCCTTTTGGAAATAATAATCCAGATGTTGTTTCAATTTATCTCGAGTTTGCTGATGCTGCAAAGGTTCCCTCTGGTTGGTGTTGTTATTTACAACTTGCTTTAATATTATGGAATCCAGAAGAACCAACACAATATGTTGGTTATTGTATGTAAAAAACCACCAAATTCAGAAATTACAATTATAGCAGACAATAATGAAAAAAAGGTAACATTGATTTATTCATAGACACACGCCATCGGTATACTACGGATTCAGAATCAGATTGGGGATTTACTCGATTTTATCCACAACGTAAACTATTCGCATCATCATCAAGTAGAACTAGACTATTAATTGAAAATAATAGATGTAATATCACAGTATTTGTTCGAATTTCAAAGGAACCAATAGATTCTCAATTAGATAATTTTGTAGAATATTTTACTTCAAATCCTCCTAGAGGAAATCGATTAAAATTTTATAATTATGATTCTAAGAAAGAAACTGGTTACATAAGTTTAAAGGATAATAGAACATCAAGTTTTATAAATTCATTATTATTATCTCTCTACTTTATAAATTATTTCCGTAAGGTTAGTCTGTCAAAACTTTAAATATTATTGTATTAAATATAATAATTAATTATAAAGAGAAATTACTTTTTTTGATTGTAGGCTGTATATCAAATTCCAATATAGGAAAATGATGGATCAATTGAAAATGTTTCTTTAGCTTTGCAAAGTTTATTTTATCAAATGCAAAATTCAAATACCTCTATAGAAACAACAAATATGACAAAATCTATGGGATGGTATTCATTTGGATCTTTTATTCAACATGATGCTCAAGAATTTAATAGAATGTTACAAGACATTCTTGAGAAAAAAATGAAGGTAAAATTGATGGATCATAATAGTAATTGTCAGAGATGATGCTGAAATTTTAACTTATTTTAATATGAAATTTTAAAAATTTTTTAGCCTATTTTTTTACAGCTTTTTTTTATAATTAGGTTAGGGTTTAGAGTTAGTGTTTATAATAAAAGAGTATAGGTGGGTTTATATTTTTAAATCGAGATCTTGAATTTCAGCATCATTCCTGACAGTAATTATATAAATAAATATCATTGGTGTTTAATTTCTTTTTTAACTTTAAAATTAAGAATACAAGTATAGATGGTGTAATTTCCAACCTCTTTGTTGGTAAGATGAAGTGTTATATTAAATGTGCCAACATTGATTATGAATTTATTCATACGGAAAATTATTATGGTATGAATAGATTTTAATACTTAATATTGAATATTAGTAATATTTTTATGTATTTTTACAAACCAGCTCATTGTCTTAATAGATATTGAACTTAATGTAAAGGGGTGTAACACTTTAAACGACTCTTTTGATGATTACATACAAGAGATAAACTTAGATAATGACAAATATCA